TAATTGGGACTTACTACAGAGAAGCAACAAACCTGTGGAAGTGGAAGAATTGCCAGGACGTCGATGATGAAGTATGTGAACAAGTACCTCTTTGCAATAGTCCGAGGATTAACAATCAACTCACCCGTACCAAAGATTCTAGAAGAAGCGGCAATGAAGCCGGTTCGGAATTGAAAGATCATGTGAATTATATGGAAGGCATCCATGAATGTACGAAGGACACAGGCAATGATTCCCAGTCTTTTATCCAGGTTGAGGCATTTTCGGGTTTTGTCATTCACAATCACTGGGATGTAGAAGAAAAGAGGGTCCAGTGCTACAGAAATTATGCAGAATAGGAGAAATATTTTGTTACAGCTTTGAAGGAAAGATCCCCGTGGATCGAGAATTTTCTTTTCTGACTTGTTACGGGCAGAGTGTAAGTTGCTTTTGATCCTTTCAGAACCCATCTCAACCCCTCTCCGGACTCTTTCCACGACAGAAGCCAGTGAGTTTTTAACTTTCAACGGAAAAATTACATCATCATAACGCTCAGTTAAAGATTTATTTGATGCGATAATTAGAAGTTGCCATGTGCAAAATTAAGCCAAAAAAAAAAAAGTTTAGTATTCAAACTTCAGCGCAATTAAATAGAACTTAAAATTAATGCTTAGAGAGGCTAACCTCACAAATTTATTTCCCCTGATATTCATAGCTCCAACCACTTATATATACCAATCAAGCCTTGCAAAAGTTCAATTTTCGATGACCAGTTCTGTTTATTTGGATTGTACGTAAATAATTATAATATATTATTAAATAAATAAAAATAATAATAAACATAGCATGTTATAAACTATATATATGATATTATAAATGTATCATTCTAATTGTTAAATAGAAATTTAGAATCTACTTTTTGTTTTTTTTTGTCCTAATTTTGAAAACTTAAACTAGAAATGACCATCCATCAGAGTTATACCTTTGACCGTTTCTTCATAGTTTCATGATATGACTGCACCTGGCTCGACACCGATATACATTATATAAACTAAATAATTTTAAAAATAAAATTATAAATTTATCCCCTCACTAAACTCATTTTTCAAATGACAGTATGAACAAATCTCAATAAAACTTAATCAAGCATTCAAGCATCAAATCCATCTTTATCCTAATCATCTACAAAAAAAAATTGACAATCGTACTAGATTCTCACCTTCTTCCTCTTTTTTTTTTTTTTCCCTTCATTTTTTCTCCCGGGTTCTCCTGGAGAAACCCAGATCTGGGTTCTGCTGCAGAACCCAGCAGAACCCAGATCGCAGAACCCAGATCTGGGTTCTGCAAAACAGGACCCGATCTGGGTTCTGCTGCAGGACCCGATCTGGGTTCTCCAGCAGAACCCAGATGGAGAGAATAAAAAAAAAAGAGGAAGAAGGAAAAAGGAAGAAGATAATGAATTTGTTAGAAGAATGAGATGGAGAGACAAGAAGAAGAAGAAAAAGGGGTGTTGGGAGGAAGATGACCTTTAAAGATAAATTTATAATTTTATTTTTATAATTATTCGATTTTGTAGGGTGTGCATCCCGGTGTCGAACCGGTGGGTGCACTTAGCATTTTCCTTCATAATATCTATAACTAAAAGAAAAGTAACTTAACTTCATGCATAATTAAAAGTTAAAGCTCATTCAAAAGATGTCTTAAGTTTGGTTACCGAGAAAACGGATTACAAAGATACTAAAAGCTTTCTTTCCTCCAGGAAATTTGAAAAGCAGACCTCAATCAAAGTCGAGATCAGTTCCTTGCGCTCATTTACGACGACCGGCCTTGACTTCTGCGGTTGAGTTGAGGAACGGCGATGAGGAGAACAGAGGTCTTCAGGAATCGAACGAAAAATCTGGGAGAAATTTTGAACGTTGAGAAAATAGAGAGAAATTTCGTTAAGTAAAGGTCTTTTCAGAAGAAGTTTGCCGGAGAGTCTCCGATGGCAGTTACTGAGTTCTCCAGGAGACAGAAGTAGGGATGGAAATTAAAATAGGAGGGACTACGGGGAATAATAGAAGCAGTGGTACAGGTTGTACAACAGAAAAGATGATAAGGAAGAGGAAAAACGAGAAGGTTAAATCACCATTTTGGTATCTTAACTTTGAGTTTTGGACCAAGTTGGTCCTTGAACCTTAAAAATTACCAAATTGTCGTTAAACCTTATTTTTCTATTACTAAAGTAGTCCTTTTGTTAACGGAACTGTTCGGTTGTGACATTAATTTGCCACAAATTTGTGCTTTTTAATTATAAATATTAGATGGAATTCCTTTTTTTTTTTTTTTTTGGTTTATCATGGCTTTTACATGTGCATGTCTATACTTCCAAAATTAAAGTAATTGATTTAAAATTTTACTATTTTTATCAGCCAAACACTCAACCCTAAACAAGTTTAATTACAAAACTATTCATCCCTACCTTCTTCCCCCACTTCACCTTCTTCTTTCTTTCTTTCTCTTTAGTTTTCTTCTCTGACACCAGTGATATCTTTCTCCTTGTCTCTTCTTTGGCATCAATGATCTCTTTCCTCTCCTTTCATTGGTGCCCTCTTCATCTCTTCTCTATGCCTCTATCTCTTCTTCCCCTTCTCTTTCATCCCATCACCAATCTCACATGTAGCAAATCAATTAGGTTAGGTTCATTGCATGAGAACCTAGATTTGCCCACAAATATCTCATGGATTGATGATGTTGCTATAAAACTAAGGTCTCCACTCTTCTACAATTACATTAGTTTGCGTGTTGTTTTGCTTGATTTTGTGGCCAAAATTCTCCTTTTAACCACTAAAGGTTGGGAGAAGAATTATTGTTTTAATTGTAGTTTTAGTGGCTAGAACTATAGTTTGAGAATGTGTATATGTTTCTTGATGTGTTTTGAAAGGTTGAATTTGATTTGGGTGTGGAGGGTGTTGGAACTTAAATATTTTAATAAAAAATAAAATAATATATTTTATAAATTGAATTTATTATCTTATTTAGGACTTGGTCAAATCAACCGGTATAAGTTAATTACCCTACTTAAGGACACATTATTTCATAATAATTGTCCAATTTATTCTTATCATTAACCTACAAGTGGGAGCTACAAGATTATAAGTCTTATAAATAGAACAAGTGTTTTTGCTCAAAAAAAGAAGTTCCTCCACATTCTTCTACTTTCTTACTTTACTCTATCTTCAAAATATTTTTGGGTAAAGAAGAATGTTTTTGAGTTAGGTGACTCTATGGGTAGTGTAGAACCATAAAGTGTTATTATAAGGCTGTAGCATATTGAGGGTGACATGCTATGTACATTTCTGCTGCACTGGTTGATCTACTGTCCATAAAGGCGTGAATCGCTTTAAAGTAAGTAAAATTTACACCAATATTTTGATGATAATTTCTTATTGATATTTTTTTGATAAATTCACTAATTATTATTTTATTTGATCTTGTGATTGAAGCACAATAATGACATAATGTGGAGATGGAGAAGAGTGTTCGAGAGACAACAGAGGGTGTGGAGACTATTGGGGAGTCTATTGGGCCAACTCAAAAGCGCACATGTGAGAGAGCACAAACATATATGAGGAGAAGAGGAGAGAAGGAGATGCCAAAGAATGAGAGAAGGAGATGTTGGAGAAGTGAGGGATGAGAGAAGATTAATTAAGCATGGGTCCCAATGTATTTAATTTAATTTACTAAGAAAGCTATGATAATTGCACATTAAAAAAGAGAATAGTGTATGGTAGGTTGTTCTCCTAAAATTTTTTTTGGAGAAATTGTCCAAAAACCTACATTTTAATTAATATTTTTAAAAACCGATAATTGGATTGAAAGTTTTATTCATATAAATAATGCATATCAATTTTCATATTGATGTAACACTATAACCTTTTGATAAAAAAACTGTATTTATTGACATATATTTAATGGTATTAAGTTTCTTATAATCAACAAAATAATTAGGCCTATTAAAATATTTTAAAAATTGATATGCATAATTTATATGAATAAAATTTTAAATCCAACAGTTAGTTTTTAAAAATATTAATTAGAAGATGAATTTTTAAACATATCCTTCAAAAATATTTAAGAGAACAACTTGTAAAACACTTTTTTAAAAAAATAATTAAGGTAAAATAGTAATTAGCAATAGAAAACCCACATTTTTAAAGTGGATGAGCCCTACTATATTTAAATTATTTATTAAATAATTACTATCAAAATTTACAAGGAAAGTCTTACGTGGAAAAGAAAATTATTTATATCGATAATAAAATAAGGTTTTTTAATATGTGCTATAAAAATACAAATTAAATGTGTAATAAATACATATTTGATTTAAGTATTAAAAAATTATTAATACTTGGGCTTCAAAATTATCAAGGCTGGTTTTTATTTCAACCTTTTTTTTTTTCTTTTTTTTTGAATGGATTACAATTTGGAGAGAGGGAATTCGAACTCTAACGTTAGAACTAGGGGTGCACATTACAAAGAAGTATATGGTTAGCGAGCCACGAAGTCTAAGTGCTTTCTTTTCATATATTTATGATATCATAAGTAAGAATATTATGTAATATTAACTTCCTCTCTGTCAAGTATCTTTATTATTTTCATATAGAATAACCATAGGGTAGCATGTTATTTTCTATCTCCTTTTTTTGCCCTTTTATTATATATAGGTTAATAATATAATATGAATTACATTTGATGTTCAATATGTAATTTCATACAAGTAACATCATTACCATTTACTTGTCTTTCTTATAAAGTCCCAACATCGACTAAAACTCCAATAACATCTAGATTTTTAATAAAAGTATTTTAAATAAAAATGAATTACATGTTTATTTAATAAAATTATATTAAATTTTTTAAAAAATACCCCAAAGACATTTTTTTTTTCTCGAGAAGGTTCTCATAATTAGTGAGTTCAAATACAAATCTCAAAATCATTGCAACTTCTTCATTCAATTATTTGACAATAATATGAAGATGGAATTGAATCCAATAATTGTTATAAGAGACAACACAATACGTGTCCTTATTCTTTTTTATGGAAAATTTTTTCACATGATAAACATTTCCTTCAACCAAATTATCCTTAAATCGCAAAAAATTAGAACTCCAAATTATAGTATGAATAAAATTTTTCTATAAACAAATAATTGTTATTAATATAATTCATTAAATACTTAAAAGATCAAATGTAATAACTTACAAAATTACCTTCTCATCGGTCAAAACCATTTAACCATTTCAGTAGTTAGATGGTTTCTGTCACATTTCAAATTAAAAACTTTCCACAAGCTACATATTCGTACTTTAATCTTCCGATCTTCTTTTTCAGGTGAAAGTTGATCAAGAAATATATAATCCATGTCTTTTGCAATTGATTTACCACTATATAACAAAATATTTTAAAATTAGAGAAAAGATGTAACATAATTAAGAAAAATATAAATTAATGGTTAAAATTAAATATCTATTCATATTGAGAAAATGCAATCCAAGCATCTATACCTTGCAATCAAATTTGGATTTAGAAAAATCTCTAAAACAAAACAACAATGAAAAAACTTTCTCATTTACAGTTGAAATCTTTTAAAAAATAAATGTAGGGAATTTAAATAGTCGACACTTGACTCTTCCGGATCTAAATTCCATTTGTATTCTTTTCTATTTTTAAATATTTAAATGGCATTACCTCTTTATTTACTACATGATAAATCGATCTTGAATATTACTAATTAACATGTTAAAAAAAAAAAGAAAAAAAGAAAAAGGGAAATGATTTTACCCCTTCATCTACCAAAGGATGGACTGATCTTTTCCATATTAATAATTAATAATTAACATACTATTTATCTAAATTATTTTCAGTTATAGTTGATAAATTAATTAGCCTTGATTAAATA